TAAGGAGAAAACATGGAGTTGTTCGGGCCATATGAAAGAGGGCTCCTCTAAACCCCCTCATCGGCCCGAACAACACTATGTTTTGTCCTTACAATAGTGAAGAAAAAGCTCTCTGGAAAAATAGCCTACTTTAACTTTAACATTAAAGTTAAAGTATTTTACTTTAACTTTAACTTTAACTGTTAAAGTAAAGTTAAAGTGCCATATCTAGTCAGGATATCACTCCCTGTTGCCAGTTTAAATGAATCTATTGTTTGAACAAGAAAGCCTAGAATCAAAATAGATTATTTACACATACTAACACATTTTAAGATTTTGAAAACTGAATGCTTTGTGTGAAGAATTTGATATTGATGTGCAATGAGAATGCAACATGTCTCATGGGATGTGTTTCATACTTACCTATCAAACTATATGTTTCATAGAAGTATCTTATTTTCATTCAGAAGGATTTTTTCAAAAATATTAAAAATTTCTCAGTTGTAACCTAGAATATCATAATGATTATCATCGCCATCACCGCAAGCGATATGATATGATTTGTTTCTCCGGATTTTTTTCGTTATTATCTGTGCACATAACACTTGTGCAAGCTCGCACATTGATGCACGTATCAAGCAGATTGATGAGAATGAGAGAATAAAAAAAAACATAATTCAAGGAGATATATAGAGAGAGCGAAAAAAAGCTTCTATTTCTGCTGAAAGGTCTATCTTCAATCCCTTTTTAGTGGGAATTGAAGAATACGTGTGTATGTAAATGAGTATGATGGACTCAGTTTTATGTTCTTTTATTAATTTAACTTTTAATGAGTTAACACAACACTGAAAATTTTCAAACCATTCGACATACACATTATGTCAAAGAAAATTTGAAACTCCGCCATGGTTTAATGTTGCTCTCAAACTATAAATATATTTTATTTATTTTATATTCATAAAAAATAAATTTATGAATGCCAAACTAATACATCACTACGAACTTGAAATAATATTGATAAAAAAAAACATAACGTGTTCAAGTCTGATGAATTTGATTTCATTCATTAAATAATTTGTACTATGATAATTTAGATGTCATAACACCATATTGTCCTCTTTTTCTTCGCGTATAAAAGTAAACACTTAGACTAGCTATAACAGTAATAATTAATACAATACATAAAACAATAATAAGTGCTGAAATATTTGATGGAAGTTTTCTTGATGATTGTTTTTTAGCTAATTGATTAAGTAATGATGCAAGTCGATGACCTGCTTGTGCTAAACGTTGATCTACAAGAGGCCAGTTTCTACTGAAATATTCTTCACCTAATGTAAAATTTTTTGCAACATCGAGTTTCTCATGGTTTTCATCAAAATAAACTTGTTTACAAACGTAATCAACGCTTTCATCAATCCATTTATTATAATCATTATATGTTTCATTAGTCAATAGAGACTTATTAGACATAAGAGATTTCAAATATTCATAATAAAGATTAATATCGGATTGAAAATGACGATTAATACGAATATCAATTATTTCAATATCCCACATAGAATGAAGTTGTGTTATATTTCTTCCATTGAGAAAGAAACCTAGAAAATAAGTCTACATTAAGTTTAATAGAAGAATAAAACATAAAATAGACTCTACCATTGATTTTGTGTCCACCGCGGTCTCCCTTAAATCCACTATGTAGTGGTTGATGTGCATCACCAACAAAATGAACAAGAAAAAAAAGAGCTTGTTGTTGTTCGAACAAAATCACAATTATTATCAATTAATCTTTGTGAATAATTTTTTAATGCACCTTCAACACATCTATTATTTAAACAATCTCTTGTTGAAATATATTCACAACTCCAATCAGGTATATATGCAATATGTAATTTGCGAGACCATTTCCAGTTTTTATAATTCAATGGATTTGTATTTGGATTACGTATTATATCAGTCCATGATGCAATTTCACTTAAGTTACCAGATAAATTCTGAGGTATATAATTTTGAATCCAATTATTAGTGGATGAATCTAATTGACTTTGAGCAAGACGTGCAACAATACTATGACCTATTGGTCCCCAACTAGAAGCATAAAAGATACTCTGATAGAATAGAACCAAGTGTAGTGTCGACATTAACATAGTATGATGTGTGTATCAACGAACGAAGACAGAGAATATCATAGTGAAACAACGATGATTTATCATGGCTAAATAAATAAGCGATCGAAATAGATGAAAGTTATGTCTCATCATTTATTGTATCTCACTTGCATGCATCAATGATGATAAGAGTGTTTTACACTACTGATATACTCATATTCATATTTACCTAACACGCTTTTCTTTTATGTTCTCTTTCTTATTTCTTTTCCCCACTCTTTTTATTACGCTTAACTAATGGTAGAAATTGATGAGTCACCTAAAAAAATACAAATGCTTTTTTAAAGAAAATTTTCAACATACTCCAGACAACAAATTCCAGCAATCAACCAGCCGATTATCAAAACAACAACAATAATAATGTGAATAAACATTCAATATAAGTATCAATAGAACTACATACAACTCCATCTGACAATCATTCAACAACAGGAAGAAGAAAAGCTGGTGACGACTTTGGTTTTGCACAAAGTGCAAAATTTCCTTTCTATATATAGTAAGTTTCTAGAAACCACAACAAAATGGGAAAATCGAACATCGTAAATTAATTGAACATCATATCTTAGAATGAAAAAATAGAAATAATTATACACTAAATATTACAGGTAGAGTTGGGTTGGGGTGGGGTGTGGGTTTAGTGTGGGTGTGAATGCTAGTTCACATATTGGATGTGGATGTGCGGTGTGACTGTAAGTGTGAATGCAGTTGTGGGTGTGGGTCATGTCTTTTATGCATTTAACATCCACACCTACACCCACACAATAATAGATCATTAAATTACTGTAGCGTAATCAATTAAATTCAGGAAAAGAGGGTGTGAGTGTGAGTGCGGGTGTGGATGTGTGCGGTGTGGATGTGGGTGGATGGGTGTAGCAATTCTCTTAGCTGACACCAATACTCACACACATCCACACCCACAATGAAAGTGCCCCGTTTCATCTCTTTAGGCCATTGCATCACTCGAAAATTTGCCGAGTCTGGCACATAAAGGGCACCCACACTATCGACGAAAAGTCTATAAGAATGTATCAACTTTGTTCGAGCATTCCCAGCGCCTCGACCTCCAGTAACGATAACTCCTTCTGATGCATCTTTATTCCATTTCATTACACGATTATTTGAACTGTCTGAAACGTAGACGGCTTGCAGTTCATGGACAAAAATGTAGGTCGAAGCGTTGAGTTGATTGAGACCAATACCCACACCATTGGTACCAGCTACAAGAATTCCATTCTCGTCTCCCAGCCGATACCGTCTTACTTCATATTTATCAATGTCAGAGATATAGAGATATCCCTGATCATCCATAGCCGATCCATAACAACTGATGTTGTCAAAGAAGATCTCTCCTTCAAATGTATCACTAGCATGAGACCACCGCATGACTCGTCGATTGGTTACATCACAGATAATGATACTATCATTCTCTCTCTCGATCAATACATCGCTTGGATAAGCTAGTTGATCTAATTGATTTCCTTGAATATGACTACCACCTATTACTTGTCCCCCCGTCTCACCTGCCTTCCATTGGACGATACGATGATTCCAGTAGTCAGCGGGTGTGGGTGTGGGTGTGGGTGGGTGTGGGTGTGGGTGTGGGTGGGTGTGGGTGTGGGTGGGGGTGGGGGTGGGTGTGGGTGGGGGTGTGGGA